GAATGTGATATAATGGAGGGCAAACGATATAGTCGAAAAGTCATGATTTCCATGAAATGTGAAGATAAAATTAATTGTTGACTATGATTTCAGATTTTAATCTCCACACAATGACAGATCCAGTATCTGAGGTCAATTAGGGCGGCCATTGATTGTTGATCATCGATCGTGTCGATAGTCAAATTTATTAATATTTAATTAAATAATATTAAAAATTCTCCGATCTTTGTATGAATGCACTAAAATATAAAACTCATATTCACCAAGTTTATCACATGTTAAACTATCAGTCCATCACCAAGTTTAAATTTTCGATTTCCATCAACAAATTTATTATTTATCACACAAATTCCTCAATTTATCATTGTCATTTATCACAAATAAAATTCACACTCCACATATATCAAATATTCTGAAATTTCTATTTTTCAAAAATCATAAACATTAGGATTCAGCAACAAAATCCTTGATATTCTCAAATTCTCGAATTTATAAAATCCCTAATTCTCAAATTCACAAAAATCAAAATGCTCACAATAAAGAATACACTACACGCTTACAAACACATCCATAACTCAAACATAATTTATAAAATATAAATCATAAATGATAAATAAAAAAATTAACTAAACTGGAAAAACAAAAACCAAAAAAATAAAAGAGGAGCAGACTCACAAGTCACGACAGCAAAGGCTAGTGGACAATGACGGAGATCGGAGGCGGCTGATAGCAGGGCAGGGGCTAGGACTGTGGGATGTTGGGATCGCTGGCGCTGGGTGCAGCTCGACTTCAAGTCGGAAGGGAGGCATTGAGATTTAGCCAGCATGGCCGATTTTTGTTTTCTACTTTGCAATTGAAATTTGGGGATATAAGATTGGGCTTGGGCATTTGTTTGGGACTTGAGCCTTTTTTAGTAGAAAACAAGAAGCCCAACACAATTTAAAACAAAAAAAAAAGGCCCAATTTTCATATTCAACCCCAGCGCCCGATTCTTTTTTGCTGCATCTCTTTCCATTTTCGATCGACAACAGCGCTGGCTCCGCAACTGTCTCCACAAATATTGAACTGATTCAATATTCATTTTAATTTTAAATAATTATTTGGACGGAACCACCCTGGCCCACCATGTTGGTCTGGATTGTTTGAATCCATTTGTATATTAAAATAAGTTTGGTAATAGTGATTTTTTTAGAAAATGTGTGATTAAAATATTTAAAAAAAAAGATTTACATGTAAAATATTTTATTGAAAAAATGCATGGTTAAAAATAAATTTGAAGAAAAATGAGTTTAAAACAAGGGAAGTTGGGTTTGATTTGAAAATAGTTCCTACTAGTGTCAATTTTCGTCCGATTCGAGGAAATTTTTTATTGAAGTTCTCCGTCTCTAGGAATTCATGCTTATCCAATTAATTATCCCCACCCAAGCTCATGTTTGGACTCCATTTTATGAAAACTCATTTTTTTCAACACTCATTTTCAACCACATATTTTCCGACAAATAATTTAAGTAAATCAAATTTTTTAATGATTTTTTAACCACACGTGCTCCAACTTTTTACTATTCCAAAATACATTCTTTTGAGAAAAATGGTGTCCAAACAAGGGCTAATATTATCGCCACCCCCACCAAATTAATAATATCAATTAATAATATTTTACGGATGCCCACCCAACCTATAATTTTTTTTCAAAAAATTGAAAACTTTTTTTGAAATTACACCCCATCCCATCCACCTCACCTGTAAGAATTTTTTTAAAAATTGAAACCTTTTCTCGCACCCCATCCCACCCCACATAGAATCACTCTAGATTTGTGATTAACTGCATTATCTGTGGTCGATTTTTTTGTGATCAGATATGTGACCAAATTTATCTGTAGTGCCATTGTCTGTGATCGTCTAATTTGTGATTACATGCAATCAAGTCACTAACATATATTATCTGTGATTAAATTTGTCTTCACGTGATTAATTATAATCAACTTTATTTTCAACGTGACTGTTTTGACACTTTTAAAATCTCCACTTTCGAAATCAAAAAGCAGAATTTGAACCATTGTCCACTTTTTAAAACACAGAGGAAACACAATCCATCATCCACTCTAACCACAAACAATCCAATTCCTCAATCCACCGTCCACTTCCACGTTCACCGCAACAAATATTCTGGAGCATCGTTTTCAATTTGCACAAAATAGAATCAGCTTCAATGCATAGATTTCGGCTCTGATACCATGTAAATAATACAAAACAATTAGACAAATCAAACGAAGGAAAAAAACTGAGAGAAGAAGAAGAAACCAATTATGAGAGCCTCCAAAAATATCATCGTACCTCAAGTCTCAAGGGATTAGTTTAAATTATGTATAAATCAACGATGCTATATGTGGCTAACAATGAGTTGTTCCTCTTCTTGTTTCTCATAGGCAGCGTGGGAGGTCTTCTTAGAAGTTAGAACCCCACTGAATCTGAACGTATTTTCAATGCATTCAAAAAGTCTGAACAGCAGGATCCCAGGTTGTTCATGGTATATTGCTACAAGGCAATATCTCCTTATTTGACAATGGACAACGATGTTTGCTCTCTAGCTTTAGAAAATAGAACCATTTTCACAGTACTTCTATTTCACAAGCAATGGACCTTTGAAGAGAGGGTCAAATCATCCTATGCATATAGGCATCTCAACAAAAGTGTACTTGAAAGGGCTCCTTGTTCTGTTCGGATTCTCATCGATTATGGAAGTTTCAAGAGTTTCCATCAAACTGTGCCCTTTCACAAACAATTTACTATTGATGGAAGAGTGAGCGTCAACTCCTTCAATCAAAATGGTAAACCAAAATGCCATGCAAAACGCCCCGTGTTCTGTGGAACTCCTAGTTGACCGTGGACAGGTGACCAGAAGGCATTCGATTTGAGGGGCCATTCCATGTTCCGAATCACTAAGCTATTCCTCGCGGGTGCTGATGACTGCGAAGCTCTATCCTATACTAGTCGTTTGGTTGAAAATCCACAAATTGAACTCACTTTTTCATTGTGGCTTAGGCAATGGGATCACATGAAGTATGAAGATGAAACAGGGAAGACTGTCTATACACAATTGGTTAATCAGTTCCGGGCCAATACTGTTGGAAATCAAAGAGTCATTTTGAAGCAGAACGGAAGTTCAATGGTTCACTAGCGTAAACTCCAAGCTCGTAAAATTGGAATCCACTAGAAAATAATAGCAAACCAAAACGAATGTCATGTATTTTGATAACAAAGAGCTTTTAAATAGTGTCTGGAACCCTAATTTAAGCAAAAGATCAAAATAGACATCCACTAAATCAAAACAACTAAAAAAACGCAAAAACCAAAAAAAAAAGGATAAAACTTCAACTACCTGTCAACGTGCCTTAAACATTGAATTTGAGGGTGGAAACGACGTCAACCGCGGATTTTTCCGAAAACATATTATAAAAATCTTACACCCGAGCTAAAAGTTATGCCCGTTTCTTATGAACAGCAGCTCTTCTTCAAACTCCAAAACTAAGGCTCTGTTTGATACATGAGTTGAAGAAAGAGAAGTAAATGAAGAAATATTTGAAGAAAAATCAGATTTAGAAGAAACGTCTAGTGATGATGAATAAAAACAAGAATAAAACTAATTTCGAAAAAATTATTAGGATTGAGGACTTGATCTGCAATAAATGACCCATTTCATTAAGGGTAAAACTGACTTTTTAACAAAAAACTTAAAAAGCCACTATTCATAGGTCATTTTGCAAAATGTCCCTGCAAAACGCCCCGTGTTCTGTGGAACTCCTAGTTGACCGTGGACTGGTGACCAGAAGGCATTCGATTTGAGGGGCCATTCCATGTTCCGAATCACTATGCTATTCCTCGCGGGTGCTGATGACTGCGAAGCTCTATCCTATACAAGTCGTTTGGTTGAAAATCCACAAATTGAACTCACTTTTTTGTGGCTTAGGCAATGGGATCACATGAAGTATGAAGATGAAACAGTGAAGACTGTCTATACACAACTGGTTAATCAGTTCCGGGCCAATAATGTTGGAAATCAAAGAGTCATTTTGACGCAGAACGGAAGTTCAATGGTTTACTAGCGTAAACTCCAAGTTCGTAAAATTGGAATTCACTAGAATATAATAGCAAACCAAAACGAATGTCATGTATTTTGATAACAAAGAGCTTTTAAATAGTGTCAGGAACCCTAATTTAAGCAAAAGATCAAAATAGACATTCACTAAATCAAAACAACTAAAAAAAGGCAAAAACCAAAAAAAAAAGGATAAAACTTCAACTGCCTGTCAACGTGCCTTAAACATTGAATTTGAGGGTGAAAACGACGTCAACCGCGGATGCACTGAAATCCCTTTCCGAAAACATATTATAAAAATCTTACACCCGAGCTAAAAGTTATGCCCGTTTCTTCGGAGCAGCAGTTCTTTTTCAAACTCCAAAACTAATTGTCCTACATCACATTTACAAAGAAGAAATGGTAAACAACGCCATAGAAACAACAAAGATGATCACATCAATCGAGGACTATTACCATGAATCTGTTCTCAGTTTTTTCTAGGCCTAACTGAATGGATTACAATTCATCAGGAAAGTCTAGCCTATATGATCATTCTTATTCTCTTAATGTAAGTATAGGTCATTCCAAGTTTTAATTGTGTAAGGATTTAAAAGTTAGAAGAGAAAATGATGTTGAGAATTAAAAACCCTAATTCTATCATCAAGAGCAATAAAATCGTAGAACGATAATAGACATAAGAACACGTAAAATTTATAGAGGTTCACTTCAATATAACACTACGTCTTTTTTTACCGTTGTAGTAATTCACTACGATGAAAATAAATTTACCATAGAAATTCACACACTTCGCTAACCACTACGTACTGGCTACTCACATCGACAATAATTAGATAACATAAACTTAACCAATGAAACTGATCCATATCACACACAGATATATCAGATCGTTCAGAACTCTGTTCAGACATAAACATTGTACATAGTATCCATGAGAGGCATGAATATTGTCAAATAGATAAAGATCTGCCAGCTTGTATTGCATTTATTTTTGTGTAGCGTCGAATTGTCGTCGACCACTTTGGATTTACACAATAAATAAATAAGTGTAAAAATAGTAATAATAAAGCCAAGGCTAACACATAGGTTAAGTACAATGTCATTTACTTTGGCAAGTAATATTTAAGTTATGATTCTCTTAAGCAATGCCACATTGTTAATATTTCTTTATATCGAAATCTTCTGTTGATCACTAAACTTTATTTTATCAAAATATAGCCATTAAGGTTTGTCCTTTATTTCAGCCTGGTGACTCGATTAAATAGTGTTAGATTTTCTAAATGTTGTGTGACTCGTGGGAAACCTCCACATTGGTGCCATGTTAAATCGCCGTTTGTCAAGCCAGATGAGACATCTTGTTAGAAAACAACATAATTTATTTGAGTATTTAAATTCAAATAAATGTAAACTTCAATAATTATTTTGGAACAAAATAAATCTTTCCTGTAAATTGAGTGACAACAATATCTTTAACCCATTTTTCTATTTTTTTTCTTGAACTGCAATGAAAGACATATAGGTGTCTTTGGTCAAACTTATTACTTTTGTACTGTCTTCCAACAAAAATTTTGCATCCTAAGTCAAGTGTAATGTTGCAAATAATTTTTTTGTGAGGTTGAATATCTCTTGAGACGTAAGTTCAACTACTTCATGGCTTAGTTTACTCGTTGGTTTGATTCTTTACGGTTATGTCAACTTAACTTGATCCTAAACTATCAAGTCATTCTTGTGCAACAAATGCCTCTAGGTTGGAATTGTTGAATTATTATCGATCCAACCTTTTGTTTCAGTCACATAGCACGCAACATTAATTACTAGTCTAAGTGCCAAGGTTGCATATTCTTATTCAATATTAAGGAATATAATCAAATATAAACATAAACCAACTTATAAAGGATTGAGTTACTCCTCTTAATAAGGTTGACCTTTTAAGATGGAACCCCAGTTCTTAACATTGTATCAGAGCTTATTAAACTCTAACGAGCAATTCGATCTAGTTAAGACTCCAAAAGTGAGCATACGAATTTCAAGATTGATCTACTCAAACGAGCCACCATCTTGTGGGGGTATGCTAAGTGATAGAATCCCATATCGAATAAAGATATAAACACAAACCAACTTATAAATAATTGAATTACTTATCTTAATAAGATTGATCTTTTAAGAATGAAACCCCAATTCTTAACATCCAAAACACTAAGAATAGAAAATTTGGTAACTATAGTAACAATCTTTGTTATTTTCTTCTTGTTCCTTTAGGTTTCCTAAATAATGGCCTTCAAAATGGTATTTTCATCATCACCTTTTATATAATTGTCACCATCTTTATCTTTAATAGACACAGTGTTGGAAAAAAATTAATTTTACTTAGTTAATTATATTTAAGTTCGAATTCGTAGCAATATTCATAATTTTTTTTCTGTACAGCTATAAACAACATGTATCACCGATGCAATGCTTGCATCTGTGGACTGTGATTGAAGATGGCCGCCAGCGAAACCATGATGGCTCAAACCGTGTATTTAGGAAATAAAAAAAAAGACTTATCTTAATTGTTAAAACAAAACATTGCACGATTGTTGTTAGATCCAAAGTCAAAAGAAAACATGAGCCATGCTTAATTAATAATCTAAACCAATCATTAAATATATTTTTTTTCTATTCAACAATCTAACTACTGATCATCGAAGTCCCATTTAAGAAACTTAAGCAACATTTAAGATTTCTTTGGGCACATGTGGGTGTGGGGTCGACCGTGGAATGGATGAAATTAACCTTAAGCAAGGTGTATTGAATCAGATAGATTTATATAGAATACGTTTTTTTTTCTTAATCATTTCCAAAATACACCAACTTTGAGTCAAAATATTACGAGAAAGAGGAGACATGTCACGGACTTAGAGTTTTTCCCAACTTCATCTAGCACCTTCGTCTAGCACCGCGCGGGCTTAACGTTTCAAGCTCCTGCCCCTTGTTAGAACACGTTAAGTCAGCCTTTCAAATGTATACAAATTTGGGGTTAAATTGATTGCATTTGAACTTAAGCAAATAGAGACAAAAATAGAAGATTACAAGACAACAAGCAGTTTGGGAGAATCTGCCTTTTATATTCAAGGAAAAAAATTTACATTTATACGAGTGTTTATCCTCACTGTCTCTTTAACTTAACTGAGGCTACTTGATAGGACAACCCGTGCGGCCCCCGGGGCAGCCGTCCCCCTCTCACGGGCCGGCAAGCATATACATAAGCAACGCATATGTTTCTTTAATTATAATGCAACTTGATGAAGTATTCAAAGTAGAATTTCTTGAGTGCAAGTTCTCTCCGGTATAGGTTTCTTGGGAGACAGATAATTTTTGCTTTTAAATATGTCCATAAAATTCCAATTCTGCTATTATTACATGCAGGTGGGAAGTGAAAATGAAAATAAAAGGAAAACTATCCACAAAAACCAATAAACGCCACATGGGGAAAGAAAAAAGTTCAGTGCATTTCAAAACTAGTCCTCAGAAATGCTCTGAAGATGAGGCCTCCATACTCCAACTCTCCCTTTCCTCCGTTCCCGGTGTGATGACTTTTTCTCCGAATGACTTTCCGGTACGAATTGATCAAAATCCGACTCGCCGGAGCTGAATTTTTTGCTTTCCTTGGGAGACTTCTTGAGGTAGTTGAGGGTTTTCTTCTTCTCTGCAGGCAAAGAAGATGCTGGTATCAAGAAATAAATGCTCCCTCTCTTAAGTTCCAACTCAGGCGATAGGATCGAAATCCGGCGGGCAACACCTTGTGAGCTTGGTTCCCTCAATACGTGATTTGGGTTGTTCTTAAGAACCTCTCCGGCGGTGACCGGACGTGTTATTTCTTCAACATGGCCATTTAAGTGTACTATACGGATCAAATCTAGGGGTCCACAGGGAAGAACACATGCTAAACAACATCTCAAACTGTTTCCCATTTTTACCAAGATGAACTCTCTCTGTACAGATTTCTCTTCTTCTCTCTCCTGTGGTATTCTTTCTGTGTGGAGTTTGGATGAGATTATGGAGCGGTGATTATATGTAGAACAACCGTACACGTTTGAATAATAAAATATGGGAACTTATTTTGTACTTATGTGCGGACAAATTGCACCATTCATCCTTCATCTATAGCCTTTGGTCCCCAATTTTTAAAATAGAACATTTTGATCATCAACATTTTATTACTACACAAGTAGTTCTGGTGGACGAAACGGAATGTTGCTGAATTTTTTTTCCATTTTTGTTGAAAACAAATAAAATTGAATTTAAATTAAAAAAAATTTAAACAGGAAAAAGAAAAAAGTGGGGGGTGGGGGGTGGGGTTGAAAGATGGGTGGACAGTGGACACACGGTGTTTAGACATTGGTGATTGGGCATTCAGGAGAGACTGCCTTGGAGGGCACTAGATTTTGGGCACGGGGACTTAAGTGGGGGTTGGATACAACCATTGTTTTGAAAATGAATAATGTTATGCAGTCCTACTAAAATTGTAACATCAGTCTAGGTAACGATAGATGATAGGCTAAATGAAATGTAAAATTAAATAAGTTATTTTAATTCCACTAATCATTTAATACCATATCAGTGCCACATAGACTGAGATCACAACCCCAAAGAAATTAAATAACATTACTCTACGAAAATTGAACCAGACTCTTAGTTAAAGGTTAAAACGTTTGAAATTTTTAAGCTATTAAATGATTATTGAATTGGTCGTATGATAGCCAAAGCTAGCCTATTTGCAAAAAGAAAATAAATAAATAAATAAAAATTAGTAAGTTCAATTGTTAAAACTATCTCGTTCATCCCTTTTTTTTATTTTTGTCTATTTAATCTTATCAATCATGCTACAGTGCCACCTTGATTGACATAATGTCACATGTCAGTTTATCATTGGACTGTTTTAAACATTGTAATCATTTCCATCCACCTAAGAATCTGTCAACCTCTATGTTACAATTCACCTGACATAGTAGTTTAATCCTAATCTTATTACCTTCAATTTGATCATGATCCACCTTTGATCCTTCTCTTTTTGGAATCGATACCTTGACTGATTTTTGAACATTGGATAAGGCATGTTAACGAGTCGGTGTTCGGGAGTTGTTTGGGGCAAAAAATGGGCGGCATGAGTTCTTAATTTTATTTGCTTTTCGACTTATTTTTGTTTATCTATTTTACTTTGGAAAAATGCTTCACGTATATTGCATGTGATATTTTATTAGATATTTGAACAGTTTCTATTTCTATCTAATGGGACTCCTTGTACTGCAAAAGTGAAAAATTGAGGAAGAAAATATTTTTTTTAAGGTTGGAGGCCGATTCATTATAGAAACATAGATTGATGACTAAATTTGCAATGTTTCCTATGTGAGCTTGGAATAAAATGTAAGAAAGATCTTGAATTGTTTTGAAAGTGTTACTGGCCATACTTACAAGATTTGTTAAAGGGATTGTATTGATATCCTAATTTTTCACAAATTTAAAATATTTTAATTTGTATTAAAAGTCTTTAATTAGTACTTTTTTTTGTCTGTAATTACTAAATTTGTCCACAAATTCTGTCCTTGTGACTTAAGAAGGACAAATATTCAATCGAAATTTTGTATTTAGAAATACGAGGATTAGATAAGTTTTTTTTTTCTTTTTTAGAAATAGGAGGATTATAATTAAAATGCACTCAAAATATTTCAATTTTCAATGAAGGAAATAATATAATAATTTGGAGGGAATGTAGTGAAAATAAAAGATAGTGAAAAATAAAAAATATATTTTGGGAGTAGTAAAATTAAGTATTAAATATAAAGAGTTTGTTGGAGTATTTAAAATTTTTTATTCTTTAAACTTCTAGATGCACTATTAATTATAGAATATATTCTTTTAAAATAGATAGTCTTTCGGAGATACTCTGACAAATTTTATTAAATTTTATCAAAATATACTAAAAATATGATTTTACTTCCCGCCAAATAGGAGATAGGTTCAGAATAAAATTTCTTGCCCCCAAGTCATCTTAATTAAAACTTTTTTTTTTCTCCATTGCAAAAATTTAAAATATATTTAGGGTCCGCTTGATTGTAAATGTGAAAATAAAATGAATTTCAGAGAAAGTATTTGCATAGAACTTGTTTTTCAAGAAATTGTTAATTAAGTGTGTTTGATTGGTATAATTTTCATCCGAAAATTTTTAAAATTTTGGAGCTTTTCGTATTCGTTTGGCTTTATTTTACATGAAATTCTTCATTAAAGTGATAATTTCTTTCACAATTAATTATAAAATTTGTTTCCATTGCCAAAAAGTAAAAAATAAAAGGAAAAAAAAATAAAATTCCTAAAAAATCATTTTTTTATTAAAGTTTAGTATTCGTTTGACTTTATTTTATATGAAAATTGTTCATTAAAGTGAAATTTTTTTTTCCCATTAGTTATGGCATTTGTTTCCATTGCCAAAAAAAAAAATTTATAGCCAGTCGGGAAAATATTTCCCACCAAAAAGGCGGGAAAACATTTTCATCAAAAACCCGAAAATTGCACACGTGTGGGGAAAATCCGGAAAATATTTTTCGTGGAAAANAAAAAAAAAAAAAAAGAAGTGAGAATTCGATTTTCCTACCTTTTCACTTCACGCCTAGAAAATGGCGCGTGAGGTGAAATCTTTTTCCACAATTGGCACAGAAAATTTTGGACATCAAACGCTAGTAAAGATGGAAAATGGAATTCCATTTCCCAAATTCATGCTATAAAACAGCGCCTTAGCTTTTTGAGGAAGATTATTGGTAAACTTTTAGGAGAAATAGTAGTGCAAATCAAGAATGTGTAGAAAATAATGACTACTAGTTTTTAAAGTGGAATAATGCTATGCAGTACCAGTGATTGAAACTAAAGTTAGATTTTCACTAGTAGTAGAAGTAACTTTTAATTTTCAAAGACTCTGTTTGAAAAGATTCCAAGAGACTATTTAAATACAAAATATTTTTTTATTTTAAAGTGTCAATCCTTAAATATGAACTTCAGGTCGAAGACTCTCTATTTTAAAAAGCTCGCATAGGTTTGAAGGGCAAAACGCTCGCTTTGTGACTAGACCTTTTTTTCCTTCCAATTTCTAAACGGTTGAATTTTTTCTTCTTCTCTTTCATCTTGAATAAGCGCACTTTATTAATTTTTTTATTTTTTTGAAAAATTCTTTTATTTGACTTTAGCTTATTATCATTATTTTTTTAAAAAAAGCTTTTTATTTGACTTTAATTTCAAGTTTTTAAAATTCTTTATTTGTACAAAAGTTAAAAATGACTTTATCTAAATAATTAAATAAGATTTAAACTATGTTGCTATCTACATTATATAATTATGATTTTGAAACTCTTTATTTAAGCATGTATGAAATTCCTATAAATATATTATGTATGACTTGTCTAATTGAAAATTGAAAATATGAAAAATATTCTAATTTTTGTATTTCGAAAACTTAAAAATTATATAAAGGACTAATGATAGGAATTATTAAGTAAATATAATATTTTATAATTTTAGATGTTTGATATGTATTATTTTAATTATTAAATGATTAAAAATTTAAAATAATATTAAAATTAAGAAAACAATTTTTTACGCTTAAGCATCACATAGGCTCGCTTAAGCAAGTAAAGCTTCGTCTCCAAGCCTAAGAACACTTTACGTTTTTTAAAACACTGCTGCAATGGTCGTATTTGATAAATCACATATTTCAATGCTACTTCCTAAACTATTCAAGACACATTTAAATTGATTGGTCAATTGACGTAAAAAATCACGTTAAATAAAATATAAAGAGAATTAATAAATGTTTGAGAAAACCAAAACGAAGAGCCAAAATAAAAAGCTTGTTGGAGTGTATAAATTTTTTTTACTCTTTAAATTTAAAGTATTTATTCCTTCCTTTCCTTTTCTTCGCTTCGAATGGAATATAAAAGAATTGAGTAAATCAAAAATCAAAAAGAGATGCTCTATATAATACTTAAGATACTCTTTTTAAATAAATGGTCTCTTGGATGTACTTCAAAAAGTTATTTTTAAACCCTTTCAAATATCTTTTTAGAATTGTTTTGTTGCAAATAATTTGATTGGTGATGATTAATCCACTTTCCATTAATGCTTGTTAATTATATGTTAAACTTGGTGAATTATTTGAAAAAAATAAAAATAAATTAAATATACAATAATGCTAAATTAATTAATTAATTAATCATACACCATAAAATATTAGATTGCGAACTTTTTGGTCACAAATTTCCAAAGTTAACTTCTATTAGCATTAGTGTTATTGAACCATCCTACTTAAAAGTTTAAATAATTAATAATTTTTTAAAAAATATTTCAACACGTCGTTTCACGCATAGGCCAAATACAATTTTTATCAAAATCGCACCTATACATAATTTTCGGACAAATTTGAACTCTTAATATTTGCTGCTCGAATATATACATGCGAAAATGAATATTATATATACTCGAGTAAAATATAAGAGTGCAACTAGTTGAACTAAAGAAAGGGTATGACTACATTCGTGCTTTTCGTCTCCCAACAGACTAAAAACAATTATATTCTTGCAGAATTTTCAGTCTGTATATATATTTTTTTTAACTTCAAGTTCTTAACTAAAAAATATTGAAATTGAATTTCTTAAACAGTTGTAGTTCAATAATTTTCAATATCGTAACTTGTTTACTTTTTGGCATTGTTCTCCTACCTCGGCTTCTTCTGCTTCACTTTTCTCCAACATTTCTAATGACGAATTGACAAAAAGACTATTATAATTATTGTTGTTTCATTCGAAAAAAGTTAAATAAAAATTATTAAAACAGTACTATGTATCCACCACCTTTTTAACCTAAAATAAATAATGCATTAACAAAAAGACAAGCAACACCTCGTGTAGTTGATGATCAAAAACATGGT